TACACTGCTTCTAAAAGTTAAGGGGTTCTATATCCCTTTTTTCGAGGAATATGATTGTAACTCGACTCTTATTTTTGTGGGATCTAAAAGCGAACTTTTTCCTATTACCAGTGTGCTGGACAAGGCTAGGTTGGACTTGGCTTTAAGTTAGCGGCCCAGCTATTTATCAGAGGAGTGCAACATTCCACAACGGCCGGGGTACACCATTAACAATTCAGATGATTGAACTCAACTGAACTGTGATTTTCATTATTTTCAATGGAGATTCTTTACTCAACTGAACTAAGTCCTTGCCAGCTTGGTGACAGTTTCAAACTTTCAAATTAGCACCGTTAATGGATCCACAGTTATATTGTGTTCTATACTTTTGCTCCCCCAACTTTTGTTCTTTCATTTCTACACACAGTCGCGCATGCTTCTCAAATTGTTAAACGTCATGTTTTTTTAAAATTCTATAACAAAGCTTTCTTTAGAAACCATATAAATCGATTGTCATGTTTTCAACTAATATTTAATTAATTGATGCGGGGATGGCCAGATGGCGGATGGGTTCCCAAACCCGTAGGTTCGAACGCATACCGACCGGAGTCTTGGGCCGGAGATTAGCCAGCCCAACAGGCCGATCTTGAACTTTTGTTTAGCAATTTGAGGCTCCCGTATCCGTTTAGCAAACTGACCCAAAACCAAAAGCATCCCAGAAGCGGCTGGCTAAACACCAGAGGCAAGGCGGCCGGCGAGGCACGACGAGCAGCCGGCGCGCCACAGCGCGATCGGTCGAAGCCCTCACCGTCTCGCGGCAGCAAGCCGGCTAGGCCAGGTCCCGGTAAGCTTGGCTACTGGCTGGACAGTGGACGCACTTATTAAAGATTGACAGGTTGTTGCAATTTTTTTTTCTATCTCAAATAATTTGGTGGCAACATTCATCGTTAGAAAGGTACAATAGATCGTCTATATATATTCTACCTTCATTTTTATAAATGAATCATTTACCACATAAGTTGAATTAGAGAAATACTACCAGTGAGCAAACTACAAGCACAGATAATTGGAGATTCAATCTTCAAAGAACCATCTAATGTCAGGTTATCTTTGCTTTGTAACATACTACACCCTAAACTAGGATGAACAGAAATTAAAGGAGTTGGAGAGGGCAGGGAATTGTTGCTTCTGTTTAGTGTCATATATTATTTGTAGTATATTTTGAACATATGTTGTGTGATTTTCTGTGCATCATATTGATCTTGGATAAATATTTACCTGTTAGGTTACACGTCCTCGCTGAACCTATAATTTATTCCTGTATCTGCTACTTAATTAATTAATGAGATGTGATCAGTAAAAAAAATTCTTTGTAACTGCTGGTTTTCTGTTTGACAGATTTTTCCTGTACTAGTAATTAGAATGAAAAAAAGGGTAATACATGTTCATTTTAGTTTTTACATCTTTTTTTCCGATAGGCGGGAGAATTTATTATCTAGCATGCTTGCATTTACAATAATCATTTCAGTTTATGTGTATATTACTTTATGACAACTATGCGCTCTTGAATAAATCCACTCCCTTTGCATGTGAACAGCATATATGGCATTGCCACATTGCTAGATTTGCATTTGGAATGTGCTTTAATTCGCTTTATTTGATTTCATAATAGAAGACTATCTGAAAAGGCAGAATTTGACCATTGTAAAGCAAAAAGTTTCTTCAGTTGTCTCTGCCACATTATTATTGAAATGGAGCATATATAGGACATCTATATCACTCATTATTGTTGGATATAAGTTCAAATTTATGAAGAAAAGTGACCAGTGGATGAAGGCAACTAATCAACTCTGCTCCTGTTGATTTGTGAAAATAGTTGCATGGGTGAGCTTTTCTCCATTATAACTATGCAGGCAATTATAGGCCAAGCGATTTAATTGTATTCTTGTTGAGAGGTACTCACTGAAAGGTACTCAGCCATTAATCTGCAGCTTATGTGTCAAAATCTTTCTTTTCAAATCGTATGCAATTCCAAACTGAATACTACTAAGCACAATAAGGTGTCCCACGAAATCAATATAAGCGGCCATTGTTTGCATGGCCCGACACTGTGACATGCCAGCTCTTGGTTGATGACAAGAACTTGATTAGGAGTCCTTTGTTTGTTGGGTTACCGTACATTCCCCTGTGATTTCAATTATTCAAATAATGTGGATTGCTATTTCAGAGATGAACATACAAGCTACCCAATTATCTGCTCTCACTAAAACGAGGGTATAATGCGAATCCATGATTGCCTCAATGAATTGCAAGTAGCACTATGGGCGTAACCAATTTGTATTCTTGGCAAGTTGATGTCCAAGATTCAATTCTGCACTGTCACCGAGCTGTAGCTGCAGATTATGAGGCTCTTATTAGTTTTGATTGATCGTTTGTTTGTTTGCTTGTGTTGTGTGGGCTGGGGGTTGAATAACTTATCTGATTTGTTCCTCCAAAATCTGTAAAAATAAATAAATAAATTCTCCTGCACACCATATTATGTGTTCAAATTTTATAGGACTATGATAATGTTGTGCCTACGTTACCACACTGTTCAGATTTCTGTTTGTATTATCACCGTTAATTCATGGATGCAGAGTGTGTAAGAGAGAGAATGATATTTGTATTACAAAGAGTAATCAGTTTCAAAGGCGGAAAATTTGAGAAAATAAGGATCATGTCAAACTGAAGTTTGGAAATTATAACTGATAAAACCTGAGGAACCATGCCAAACAGCTGAAATGTGTGTTTCAGAAACAGACGAATGATTGCGTATCTCCCAGTTCCTTAACCTGAATTATTGCGCAGATATGATATTCCTACATAGTGAGCCTGTCCTGGCAGCCTGCCTGCCATTTGTAGAACTAGATTCTTCTAATTTGTCCTAATCTTGTTCAACTTATTGTTAGGTTAACCATCATGGTTCAGGTAAAGAAGACAGACATACACTCGGGCGAAATTTAGCAAGAGGTGTGTATATTTACTTCTACAAACTGCAGTCACCTGCATTAACAGGTGTAACTGTCAAAGTGTCAATTCCTCGATCGCCAGAATCACACAAACTTCCAGAGACATGTTTCCACGGGTGTACATCGTTGTTTATCTGTGCAAAACAACGATGGAGAAAAAGAAGCATATGGAACGGTTATAATGGAACGGCTTGTTCTTTTCCACGCGACGAAGGTGATAAGAAGTGAGCAAAAGTCGATTTAGCAAGAAACATTTAAGAGTAGCAAATGATGATCAATCGATTTAGAACACACCATGATTGAAAAATAATGCAGGTAACGCGATGATATTTCAGGTGGAGACACCCGAAGACAAGTCGCCTTCTTGAGTCCATTATTATGAAGAAAATTGGTTGATGTGCTGCAAATATACGATGTGAGCTTTTCTTTTCTGCCTTTTTGAAACTTCAGCGGATGCTGATAGGTGCGTATTTAAATCAACTGTTTGGACATGTGGCTCGTCCAAAGCAATGAACCATTGGTTTGGTACACTTTGATGAATAATAATTTGTGGTTTTCATTGCCTTACCTGTGCTGGACTGCTGGTAGTTATAATCCAGTACTCTAATTTCAGCTAATTTCCAACAAGAGAATCAGCAGTTCAGCTGTAGTACCTAGGTTACTGCCAGTTTCAGTAGAGAAAGGAGCACACAAATAACAGCAGTAAAATTCAGAATGTACAATACTGATGTTTTTGGGTTGCAATCCACATCGGGCATGCCATATTCAGCAAGTTGCAATCAGCAGAAGAGTGGTTCAGATTGCATGGCTACTCATCCAGGTTGCCCAAACAATCTCACCAAAGAACAGTGGTGCTATCAAGCAAGATTTGCCCAACCTGTTGTACAGGCTAGATACCACACAACAAAAAGGAAAAGGAGAAAGCGAGCAAATGTCCAAAACCTGAAGTTTATGGCAGAGATTCTTCTACGATATAGGAATATAGGATAGTTTTCATTCCATCCAAAAATAGTTTCAGAACTACAGATATATATCATATGTTAGTCTCCACTGCATCTTTCTCCTTTTTGATAACCTCTCCAATTGGCCAATTTATTTTTGAAAAAGAAGGATATATATATAAGTTTTCCTTTGTCTCGATAGAACTTTTACGGTACAATATATTGCCAGTATATACTGGCAGTATATAGAAGGGCATGCTAGGAATTTGCTAGAAAATAAAATAACACTTTAGTAATTTTTGGTTCAGATTGAATCTAATTGAGAGTACCCGGTGCTAAACCTTATCGTGCACTAGGGGAGAAGCATCCTGAGCGCCATTGTTGACAAAGCACGTGACAATAGCACGGTTTGATGATAGAATAACAAAGAAAAGACAAAATTACTCTTTCAAACTTTATACTGTCATCTAATTAACTAAAAAATCAAATCAATCTACACCGTTAGGTTATATATACTTGCAGTATATACTGGCACCGTAAAAATCCTCTTCTCAGTTGCATATGTTTCCTCGTAACAGCAGTCTACCTACCTACCATCATGGGATCCTTTTGAGAATCATACAGGGAATTTCAAGCCTATCAGTTTAAGGACACTTTGATATTTGCATCAAGAGATTCTATATCTCAAAATGCATTCGATATAAGTCAAATTGGCATGATTACAATTTCTATGCCAACATCAACATGAAGCATTAAGCATTAAGCATGACCCCTGAATTAAAGCAGGGCCACAAAATATTTCAGACAAGAAAGAAGCCAAGAACAAATGACTCTATATGTTTCAACTTCTACTTGCAATTTAATCGAGATTCGTTATAGATGTTTATCTCTCGGAGCAATTTTATAGTACTTGAGGAGGTACATGAGGTACCATTTTTTCTGTTATAAATTTGATACCTCTTGATACATAGGAGTAGGTACTAGGAGGTACCAAATTTTACAGTAAATTTTTGGTACGTACTCAAGAACTGTAAAATTGCTCCTCTCTCGTGGCAAGAACATGGATATACAATAAAACGCCAAAGTTAACAGCTCCATAGGCTTGCCAATGAACAATCTTTCCCAAATTTAATGAGCACAACTACGAGAACAGGGTATTAGTAGCAGCATTTAGCAGCCTAATTAAACAGCAACAGTGCCACATGATACATTCATCAGGATCCACCACACAATCACTGTCAAAAATGCTAAACTAGACTAATAAACTAATCAATGATGAGTAATAAAATGAAAAACAATTAAAGATACTGGGATCAATCCTTGTTGAAAGATCAATTCTTTCGAGCCAACTGATCCATCATTCATTCGGCTTCAGCCGCAGCAGCCGCGCCGCCATGGCCGCCGCCCTCCACCGGAGGCGGCAGGGCGTCGACGACGAGGCCGCGCAGGCCGGCCTTGAGCTCGTTGTCGCAGAACCTGCGGTACTCGGCGGTGTCGCCGGCCTTCTTGCACACCTGGACCATGACGAGCTCCCGCGTGAGCTCGAACACCTTGGCGGAGATGGCGAGCGCGCCCTTCTGCCCGTTCCGCGTCGCCTCGATGCTCACCTGGCAGTCCTTGGTCCGCGCCGTGAAGCTCACCATCCCGGCGATCTCCTGCAGCTTGGCGATAATGTCGGCCACCGGCGCGCCGGACACGAAGCGCATCCTCTCGCCGCGCTCCTCGAACAGCCCCGACAGGTCGAAGCTCGGCGACGACGCGATGATGTCGAACGCGTTCAGGCTCTTGGGCCGCGGCATGCGCGGCCGGGGCGGGAGCGGGAGCGGGAGCGGGAGGGACGCGCTGTCCTCCATGCGGTCGAGCTCGGACAGAGCCGGCGCCGACACCGAGGTGTGCATGCCGCGGGGCGTTCCGGCCACCGGGGTGGGAGATTCCGACGACGACGAGGACTCGATCGTGTCGGTGTCGGAGTCGTACAGCTCCGGCTCGCCGTCGAGGCCGTCGAGGCTGCGGAGGCGGTCGTTGCTGTCGATGTAGTAGGTGACCTCCTTGAATCCCCTCTTGAACCACCTCATCTCCATGATCTCTGGTATGGTGATGCGGCGGTCGGGGTCGGGCTGGAGGAGGCGGCGCACGAGACGGGCAAGGTCAGGGCTGAACGACGGCGGGCACTGGAACTGGTTCTGCCCGATCAGGCGGTAGAGCCTGGAGACGTGCTCGTCGGGGAAAGGCTTGCGGCCGGTGAGGAGCACGTAGAGGACGACGCCGCATGCCCAGACGTCGGCCTTGGCGCCGTCGTAGCCCCGGCGCTTGAACACCTCGGGCGCGAGGAACAGCGGCGTCCCGCAGACGGTCTGGAGGTGGGCCTCTCGCCGCTCCATGTCGGCGAGCGCGGAGAGGCCGAAGTCGGCGACCTTGAGGTTCCCCTGCTCGTCGACGAGGAGGTTGTCCAGCTTGATGTCGCGGTGGAACACGCCGCGGGAGTGGCAGTAGGCGACGGCGGAGACGAGCTGCTGGAAGAACCGGCGCGCCTCGTGCTCCCGGAGGCCGGCGGCGCCGCCGCTGGGGCCCCTGCGGAAGTAGCGGTAGAGCGCGCCGCCGCGGACGTACTCCATGACGACGCAGATGCGGCGCTTGTTGGCCATGACCTCGTGGATGCGGACGACGTTCGGGTGGCGCAGCCGCTGCATGACGGCGATCTCCCGCTTGATCAGCTCCGTGGCGCCGAGCCTGACGAGCTTCTCCTTGTCCATCACCTTGATGGCGACCTCCTCGCCGGTGGCCCTGTGCCGGCCGAGGTACACCTTGGCGAAGTTGCCCTCGCCGACGAGCGGCCCGAACTCGTACCGCTCCGTCGTCATCGCCGGCGGCTTCGTCCCCGTCCCCGTCCCCATGGATCGGAACATGCACGCACGCGCGCCGCGGCGGGCGGCGGCGGCGGCGAGAGGACGCGGATTCTGCTGCTGTTAGGGGGGATCGAGGCAAAGGGCGGCTCGACGATTGGAAGGTGGTTAAATACACGGATCACAAGGGTTTAGCACGCGAGACGCTCGTGAGTTCGATGGAAATCGCCAGCCGTACGCCGCGCCGGTCAATCCTGGCCGTTCTTTTGTTCATGCGGCTAGGATTTTCTGGCCCGTGTATAATTGACAGGGCATATGGACTCATGGAGGCCCATCATAGCTCCCCCTTCACTTTCGTTGACTAGCGGGAGTTTTTTTTCTTACAATAATGTGAGAAAAGGTGATTAATTGAAAAGCTTAATTAGGCTCGACTCGTTGGCATTAATATATCATTGGGTATATTGTAAAAGACAGTCTAGCCTGTTTCGCATAAGCTAACTTCAGTTCATTTTTTGTTTTTGGTATAGAGAGTGTATCAATTTGCCATTGAGATCGTGTGCAGGTACAATTCGTTAAAGGACTGCAGCTAATCTCATCTATTGATTTTTCTGCCTCTTCTACTACCGTAGTATCTTTGTCTACCGCAAAACACAGTACTACCTCCATACCAAAATGTTTGACGCTGTTGACTTTTTTAAAAATGTTTCACCGTTCGTCTTATTCAAAAAATTTAAGTAATTGTTAATTCTTTTTCTATCATTTGATTTATTGTTAAATATATTTTTATGTATACATATAGTTTTACACATATCACAAAAGTTTTTGAATAAAACGAACGGTCAAATATGTTTAAAAAAGTCAACGGTGTCAAACATTTAGGAAAGGAGGGAGTATTTTTTTAACCAAAAATGTTTTCGAAATTAGATCAAACAGATCTGGTGTGTGACCGTTTAAGTTACAGTCACACTATTGACTGCATGAGACCGAATCCATCAATTCATATGCACTGCCGCTAAACTGACCATTTTGTTTGGCTATGGTTGTACATATATATAAGCACCCGCTCCGAACCTATCTCTCTGTTTCATATTAGAAGTCATTTAATTTTTTTTATTAGTAAAATTTATTTAATATTGATTAAGTTTATAAAAAGTATAGTAACAATTCAAATATAAACAAACATATTATTAAAATATATTTAATGTAAAATTTAATAAATTTAATTTGTTATTATAGATGTTGTTAAATATAAAGAAATTTTAATAATTAAAAAGTCAAACGATTTATAAAAAAAATGAAACAGATGGAGTAGTAATCGAGAGCAGGACAACGGCACTCATTGTACATAGTTAGTACGGAGTACAATATATATTCAAGAATTCTTCCAGCCATGTCCGGCAGATTAGTGACACGGTGCCCCTTGGTGTCTGTTTGGCGTACGTTTCTCCTGGCAGATAATCGACCAACCAACAACCGTCCAGTGGAAGACACCTGCACGAGATCATTGCATCTGTGAATTGTGATTCTGGTCAATCTCGACCATGATTGGATTTCTAATTAACCAAGTCATTAATTACAATAATCGTCGTCGTCGTCATATCATCACGAGGACCTACAAAAATTAATATCCTAGCTACAGGAGCTAGTTTAATCCAGCTAATTAACAAGCTAGCCGACTCAAACGTCACGCGTACAGGCAACTGACGCCTGGATCGTGCATGATATGCATGGTTTTGCCTGACAAACGATCAGACACACAGCTGGGAATGATTCATGTATACGCGTATGCTGAACAAGTGATCAAGCCGCGAAAAGAGGAGGAAAATGTTACCCCATCTTTTGCAAAATATAAAAAGTTTCAGAATTGAATACGAGTATTATGAAAATTGATAAACTTAAAGAAATATTATGATTGGTTAAGAAAAGTAGGTAGATACAAAATTTGAACAGTTAAAGGTTATGATTTGTTAAGGAAAAATTATAGATGAAAAATTATTATATTTTGAAACAAAATTTAAATGTTAGAAGTTGTTATATTTTGTGAGGAAGTGGGCTTTTGGTCTTGAATCTTTACTACTTAAAAAATTCATAGTGGTGGTGGTGAGTCCTGAACGATCAAATGGTTAACATTCATCGGAGAATCCTCTCACAGGAATCAGCGGATGAGATTTTCTCCCACGATCCACCCGTCGCACCCCTTCTCATCTCCCCGATCCGCATCGCGCTCCCTCTCTCTCCGATCCGTAATTTCGCATCGCACTCCCCAGCCCCCCATCCTTCCTCCTCGGCGCGCTGCCTCCTCACCCCACCGACGCGCCGCCTTCCCATCCCGCCCAACCCACGCCTTCTTCTCCGGTTGTCCTCCCTCCGTATTGTGCCGTCCCTCGCTCCGCCCCCTCCCTCTCCATCGCGCCACTGCCCCCTCCATAAACCATAACCTCCCTCAAATCCCGATCATCTGCGCAGCCGTCATTATCGTCAGACCGAGTTCTTCGATCATCACCCTCCGTTGCCGCCACTGCATCGGACCCATCGAAATGGTGGATAGGAATGCGGACCTCAGTATGGTTGAGGGGTAGGACGAGATGATGGCGGTGGTTGCAGGCGCGCCCACCAGCACAATCGCTGGAGTGTGGAGCTAGAGGAGCGCGCCCGCTGCTGCGAGTCACCGGCGGTGTCGTCGGCATCATCGTCAGCTAGCTCTGCATATTAAAAACATAATATGAGTTGTCAAGTAAAGTTAGTGCAATGTAATAAGATGTTTTTAATTTACCTATGAGAATCACTATTAGTATTTCCTCTTGCATCAATTTAGTGGAAGATATCAAAAAACAACAGAAGATATTCAAAAGGGAACTATTTGGATGGAAATATGCATATATTGATGGATTATCAACACCTGGAAGCTAATGGTAAATACAATTTATTTTTCTCGATAGCCTAGCAACATAATTTCATTAGGATAAAACCTTTATTCGTACCTAATATATTTCCCTCTTGCTAAGATTTAGCTCAGGGTATTCTTCATTCAATGGCCTAGCCAGATCCATGCTGCATGTTAATTATGACATGGGTTGTGCTGTTTCTTGGTGGAGAAGATCGTTAAGTATCTCCTGGCATGCATGCCGCTGCCATTAACATTCTTTCTTGATGGCTGTGAGCTTGTCATATTTTATCTGGTGTTATCCCGGCTGATGAGCATCCCATTCGATTTTTTTTCTTTGTTTACATTGGTTAAGCTTGATGCATTTTTCAGATTTGCTTCCATGGATCAGTTTGGTCAGGTAGTCTTGTTGCAATGTAGAGTTTTAGATATGAACGGTTCATATACTTCATATCATAGTTGTACATAGTGGTTTGTTCTAATCATTCCCATCTGATTCTTGGGAATAGCCAAATCAGTACATGGTCAGATATTAGGAAGGAAGAGCAGTATAATATCTATGTGCAGTTTAGTTCTAATTTACCGGCTATTCTCACACGTTGGCTTTTTTATTGACTGAGATATCATTTTTCTTCTGTTTTCACTGCAGTCCAAATGTGCTGGTCAATTCATAATCGATCATCAGGCCTGGAATTTGTCTCAAGGTATATACATGGAATAGCGTTCCAATATGAGTAGTGACTAAAGCAGATTAATTTGAATTGTGAACTCTTTTACCAAGTGAACAGAGACTGTCAAATAATCAGGTAAGTACTAAAATCCTATTGATCACTATAAAATTACAATCTCATTTGATGTTGCCTTTTTCCTGGTGATCATACGAGTGACCCCTTTTTTTCATGCTTCAAAGGTATATGGTTTTGTATAAAATTCCATTTCTCAGTATAGAAGTTAAAACTCTCATTTTTGTCTGAACTAATAAACTATTGTTCTTCTCCAAGATTTGTTCACTAAGTTGCAATTGATAGCACATTTTTATATTTTCTTGGTGCGTCCATTTGTGCCTCCACAGTTGCCTCATATGCTACCACTGACATTTCTTATTATTCATTCCTATTTCTTAGAGAATTGTATTTATCTATGCAAAATTTCAACTCGATGTATTGAGGATTCTATAAGCTTTTAAAGATTACCGTGAACACATAGTGTACTATCCAGAGAATTACTCAGATTCATTTATGTCTTTAATGGATTGGATTCCATGTAAATTCAGTTGTAATCCTTTAAGATGATTTTCAGTTTTATATATATATATATATATATATATATATATATATATATATATATATATATATATATATATATATATATATTGTCTGTTCAAGGCATATAACTTGAAATTTAGCATGTACCAAAATATTATTATCAGTAGACCCCAGAAAGGTCACACTACAATTTTGATTTATCAAGTGCATGACCCTTGATAAATTTACTCATGTGTGTGATGTCCGTGACTGCTTCCCGAAGCACCAACCAATTTTATTTTGAGGAAAACATCAACTAACTATGTATCACCTAAGAGGGTAATATTCAGAACTTGTGATCTTAGAAAATGAAACCGTATTCTTCTGTGCCAATGTCTAATGGTTAGAGAAAATTCTTTTCAAATATACCTGATATTCTGATACATTAACCATATTCCTTTGTTTAGAGAGGAACATTAGCCACATTCTATCCTCTTCATTTGCCAGTCATAACAGGCGAGATGCTTTAATGCATATATTTTTTGCAGTTGCAACGCACGGGCACCCAACTAGTTTCTTAAGAAAGCTGTAGTAGTCCAGAGTGAACAATGTCACTATATTCATTTAGGCCTTGTTAAGTTCCTAATTTTTTTTTCTAAAAAACATCGAATCTTTGGATACATGCATGGAGCATTAAATATAGATAAAATAAAAAACTAATTGCACAGTAACTCATATATGCTAATGACAGATTAACTAGGCTTAATAAACTTGTATCGCGGTTTCCGAGCGAGTTATGAAATTAGTTTTTTTTTTCATTCGTGTCAAGAAAAACCCCTTCCGATATCCGGTCAAACGTCTAATATAACACCCAAAAATTTCTTTTTCGCGATCTAAACAACGCCTCAATTACGTACGAGGCAGAAAAACGTTCCTACCTTTCCCCTTTCCCCTCCGCCTGCTAGAGTAACCTTCAATTTTCTTCCCTTCCGGCCCCTCTTCCCCTTCGATTCCGGCGGTT